CAGTATTGCAAAAAATTATATTTAATTTTTTTTTTAAAAATATTGATTAGAACAAAAGTTATTTCATTTGTCAGATCTTCGTGAGAAACCCTGTATATATTGTAGGTAGTATATTAAATTACACCTACTTTAGCTGCTTCTGATAATCCGGCCAGACATTCATTTATGACATTTGATGTGGATTCCGTGGTTTCAGCTGCACGTCGTTTTATACGGTTAACTGCTATATTTCCTTCGATTTTTGGTGCTTCAGAATCATGAGTATGTTCATTTATTGATTTTATTATTTCAATATCGTCTACTGTTGTGTGTACCCGAGCTTTGCATTCATTTTTGTTTCGGCAACGCCAAAAATGACGTTCTCCATCACTACTTAATGCATCAAATAAATACATATAACCATTGTTCACTAAAACATCTCGTTCTTTCGTGGATTCAATTAATTTTGACATTATAAATAAATATTAATTAATTTAATAATTTAATAAAACTCACTACTTGTATAAAAGATTTAAATGTATATTAAAAGTAAAAACTCACTATTTGTGTGAAATATTTATGCTGTATCTAGCTAAGAATATTAAAGGACAACAAATAATAAACTTATCGCACGACAGACAAGAAACGACAACGGGTACAAATCATTCAAAACGTAGATAATCGATCTAATCGATAGTATACGTTTTGACTGGTCAACTGGTTAATTTTAACTTTAGTTAAAAACCCACTTACAACTTATCATTTAATTCCAACAATACGTATACAATAAATACTATCAAAAAATAAAAATATACTTATACAATGGTAAATTAGTTAATATGAGACCTGAGACATTTACGCCAAAACGGCTTTACGTCAAAATAGCTACATGCCCAAACGGCTACGCCAAAATGGCCACATCAAAACGGCCACGCCAAAACGGCCACGCCAAAATGTCCCATTCCGATGACTGACGGATTAGGATTTGGTGATATGAGAAATTCTTACATTAATATTGACATTTTTTATATATATATATAGATTAGGGCTATACCACACTTGCCACCACAACGGATTCCAAAATTTCCCGAATACTTCCACATTTTTGGGGGTTTTCTGGCAATCACAAGGCTGGCAACTCTTATGGGCATACTGAACCGAATTGTTCAGTTAGTGGGTTATGTTCGACAATACTGGTTAACAACAGTACGTCCATTTGGGTTTACTGTTTATAGTGTAAACATCTGTTCCAATAATTATGTAGAAAGTTTTCACAGCATGCTAAAGTCCACCATAGGCCTACATCCCCCAGTCTGGACCTTTTACGGTAATTTATTTTTATAAAAATATATAATTGACATCTAGAATGATGATGGATTTTTAATAATATTTTGCAGATCGATTACGTTCCATTGAAAGTAGAGTACGCAGGGAAACCTTTACAAACAATCAACGGCCAGCGAGTAAGGCTATAAAAGTTATCAATACATTGTATACCTACTCTAGTTACTACAATCTAAATATCAATATTATAGGAAATTTAAATAACATTGAGGCGCCTATGAAAATTCAAGGTAAATATATAGAAATAGAATGTGGTCATAAATATATTGTGTCTTAACTAAATATAACTTTTTTGTTTGTATGATTAGCAAATAATGAAGACCGAAATGAGCCACTTGACCTACCCGTGTCAAAACGAAAGTATGCTTTAGAATATTTCTATAAGTAAAATGTAGGAGATTGATCTTTACCCAATCGAAATTGTACCAATGTTCCAAGTTTGTTGCAAGGTGGTTTGGACGAAAGACAACAACAAGATTTGCGGTGGACTGTCAGACAGGACGTCGTACGGCGATTGAGACTACATGTTGTCGTTAGGCCGCAACGGCCTGCTTTTCAGCCGGCAATACTGTTGACGGAGCAAGATGATATGATCAACGGCGAGAACTATGACATGCAGCAACAGGCATACAAGCAAGATCATGTAAAGCAATAAGTAGGTAATAACGTGTTCGAACACGGAACACTTGCATTTTTGCTGCCAGCACTTCATCATTAAGGCTTCTTCAAGCTGCGCTGCGGGCGTAGAGACTTCAATGAACGGCACTATTCCTCCTAGTGAGCCATCGAGTTCACCGGTGATCTTGCCGCCGGCCCGGTTGTTTAATTGTGCCTGCCGCTGTGCAAATCTCGTGTAATCACAAGACTTGTGTTTTTGTCGTTGCTGCAATCAGCCGGCATCACCAGAATCATAAGCAAGTAATCGATTTTTTGTTTTCCGTCTTAGAGGTTGACCACAACGCAGCGTCGTGATGTACGTTCACCGCCTGAGTGCCTCCGCAATACTTCGTGTGATCACGATACGTGATAATATCGTATTTTTCATTGTTGTTATCAGCCTACATACCCAATTTGTCAAAATACCTACTCATCAATTATATTATTGTGAGGGCCATCAGGTTTTGCCGGTTTTGGTTTCCGTCGTGACTCGTGGTGTTTCGGGAAGTGCCGCCAACTTGTGTGGTATATACTCGCGGTATCCACTCGTCGAGCAGTCGCAGTGGTTTCCACTCGTCGAACAGCCGCAGTGATTTTCTTTCGTAGACTGAAGTCCGAGAGAAGCAAGAAGACGCCTGTCCGCTATCGCAGTTTCAGCGAGGTACCGCCACTAGTGGCTATCGGTGGCGGCTTGAGTTTCATAACTCAAGTTTATAAACAACCCACCCACCAACTACATTTACTAGGGCCAATGTAATATTTTTAGGTTCTTCTTTAGTTAAATTTGTCATTAACTTTTACAATTTATGATATAGATACACTTATTTTTTACTTGAATGATCAATCTTCTGTTATGAATTTTAAATAAACCTGTTAAACTTAAGCATTTTGTTTCCCGATTTTCGGGGCAGGAGCAGTCGTTCCTAGTATTCTTATAATAAGCCGCCTCTGGTGGTTTTTGCCGTGGTCAAGGTCATATGTTTTATATAAAGTTCTCCTCTTGTTCAGTGGGGCACACCAAATTGTATTTTATATGAAGTCGTCGCTGTAGTATTTAGTTCTTGAGGATTATTGTTTGGTTTTGACTTTTAAGTAATCACACTATCGTAATGTAATGTTTGGAACGTGTAAATTGTGTATGTCATAATATCAACGTTTACAATTACATATATTGATTTTGGGCATAGGCGTGCGCACGGGGGCAGCAGAGGCAGCACATGCTGCCGCAGGACTTTCTTTGGGGCTACCGCGGCCGGCAAATATTGAATAATGGACCTCGCTAAAATTATATTTCCAAAAAAAAAATAACCATTGTAGATAAAAAAAATTATAAAATTGTATTATGTGCGCGCCCTACATAACATTTTCCAATGTTACAAACTTCTATAAATATTGAAGTTGAGTTGAATTTGAAAGGTTCGAAAAATAAGATTCAATAATACTAGAATAAGTGTGTTTTCATAAACACTAGATTTAGATTAGATTTTAAATATTAGAAAGTTAATTAGTATTAAATGCTGGATAAACTCACAATAACTAAAATTTAAATAGAGTATCATATATAAAATGTATTGAACCTAAATCTATAAACATTAATATTAGGTTACCAAGTTAACACTTTGCATACATTGAATTTAAATTAAATAGTAAATATGTTTACTTAAGTATTTATTTAATGCTTAATAAAATTTCTTCCACATTATTACACAAAAGATGTATATAATAATAATATATAGGTATATATAGTAATAATATAATAATAATAAAGAGAAACAATCCGAAATGTGTAAAATTACGTGAATAAAATCTTCAATTCCGGTTTCGGCTAAAAATATGTGGATATACCAACAACTAAAAATAATTGTCATGCATTATCATTAACATTATTGCTAACAGGGTTCCTGCGCCGCTCGCTGCTATTAGGTTCGTACATTATCTGCACGTCAATATTTACGCAACGGTCAATGTCATTGATGGGTTCGACTTTCGACTCAACAATTCGTGAAATAATAATGTGCCTCTCCCGCGACTATGCAGCGTGAGCCTCGTCACGAAAAAAGTGGGCTCCATCTCTGGAGTGTTGGTTACGTTTTACTTTTACTGCGACGGCCTCTTAAACCTAAGGTGTTATCCGGCGTATAGTATAGGCAAAATAGGTACGCATGAAACTTGGTGTGGTTAAACGAATGTTTGGAATTTTCGGCAATTCGGGATCGAGTATATTCTTATGCATTGAGTTTTTAGTAATAAAAGTATATCGTATATGCTTTTATGTCACACAGTTAACAGATAGTCCATGGCAATAGTCATTGAATTTAACTAATTTAAGACTATAATAGGTAAATGTAAGCCCCAAAATAATATGAAAACAAACTCATACGCTCTCAACTTGATTATGGTTGCTTCTTTTCTGGATCGGCTTCTTCTCTAATTGACAAAAGTTTAACAAACTTCAAATCTACTGCCTTAGAACCACTATGGGTTATGTAATTTCAACTCCTTGCCCTGATATTGAAGTCGAATTTATATTTGCCCTCCTTTCAATATTGAATTTCGACGGCTTGCTGGCAAATTTATGTTGAAATCTCTATCCCGTGGTAATCATTTCATATTTGACTTTAATTTTTCACTGTATCTCAATTGGCGCTATGTCTGTACATCTACACCAGTTTTATCTTATTTGTTTATAAATTGTTGCCATTTTACAAATAATGAAAATAAGGTAAAATTATGCATTAAATCGTCGCGTGTTTTCATAAAAAAATTATAGCTTAGAACGAATGTTTAGAGTTGAATATATTGTATGTTTATAGTTTACGCACTTAAAAACTACTTGGCCGATTTTTTGATTCGTGGACATAAAGGCATAAATAGGCTTCGGGTGAAATGCATGGCGCTATCTTGTGGTTTAGTTGCACTATAAATGTTTGGCGCCTGGAATATATTGAAATGCAGTATCTGTCCATACAAGGTTTCTTATCACTAGTCGTACGAATTACGATTTACAAAAATACTGTAATCTCTATAGTTTATATCTATCTATCTTTACTGTCTTGTCTTTAGTACTTTAGTGAGTTTAGTCACCCAATTACACAGTTCACACCCAACTAACGTCAAATTAATTTATTATTTTGGCTAACTACTAAGTGTAATATTTAAGTATCAAGTATCAAGTGTTATCACTTCTTGTATTATTAATCGACTTTATTAATCGTAATTCGTAAATCTGTCCTTAATTTAGATATAAACAGAAAATTACATGTTATTTATTATTTATTAGTATTTTATTATTTATTTCCGGATTGCGCAATATCATTATATTATTTTTTATAAACATTCAACAACAGTTGTTGTTTTGTTCACGGTTAATATTAGTAATATCTTGTGTCTGGCGAATACGTACTAAACAAATTGGTTGTTTTTGGAGTTATTAAGGTAATTTTACTTTGTATTTATCTTAATATGTTACCTACTTTGAAAATCATATTATTTTTAGTATTAACCATTGGATGTTATTAGATGCAATTTTTTCTAGTAGAATTATTAGTATTAACTATCTAGTATGAATTTCATATCCATTATTATTTTTATATACTTCATACTGATAATAGAATTTGTTAATTAAACATCATCATATTCTGTTGATAAAAAAAAATTCCAATCCTATAAATATCAAGTATAATTTCAACATTCCTGCAACATATTCCATGAGTACAATTAGTAATGGTTACAATGTTAAATAGTAGTTAATTCATTTTAACATTCTATATATTATATAATTAACTTTTTAGTGTGAAATATTATAATTTATAGTCTACCTACTACAGAGGATTTAAATTAATGTGATTATAAATATCTTTAAACATGTTTTTAATTACAGGTTATACATATAAGCAGATAAAACAGTTTTAATGGATCCATCAGTTCTAACGACATTAAAAATTTTATTAATTGGTCAAAGCGGAGTTGGAAAATCATGGTAAACTATTTTTGATTTGAATTGAGAAAAAAAAATCCCCAGTTTAAAAATCATCAATTTTTATTTTTTTCTTAATTACCATTTGATATAAACTAAAAATGTAAATACTACATATGTAAACAACCCTAGTATATTATACTTGAAAATGTCCAGTACTTGATTGAATATATGCATACTTCTACAATGAAACTTATACCATTATAAAAGATCAGAAAATTCAAATGTACTAAAATAATATATTATACAGTTTAATATGAAATTGTAATTTGTGAAGTAAATCATTGTACATGTACTGCCCTACAATCACACTAAATGAATCACTTATTCTATATAAAAACCAAGTCGATTATCTGGGATTAATAATCACACAAGATAAAAGCTAATTTTTTTATTAAAAAATAAATAAATCCTTGTGATTTTACAACATTTTCATACTTATCATCCCTCAAGTTCCAACGTTTGCTTATGTAAATTAAGTTAATTCAATTAAGAGTGTTTCAGCTGTGAGACTTCCCTCTGAAGTTTAATTTTATTATTGTCAATACCATTGTTTCCTTAAATAAATGTTCAATTACTTATTGTTTATAATACATAAATAATATTCATAAATACATTATTAAGTATTAGTTAATAAAAAATATGTTTGTACTTTGTGCTACTGTCACATACTTGCATGTACTATAAAAACCTTCTGCCTCTTATTTTTACATTTTACTTATTTCAAGTACAATATTATAAGTTATATTTTAACATAATTAATTGTTCAGTGGCCTTAATAACAATTTATACTATTTTAGTTTTGTTTTTAAAAAATGTATACAATTGATGTTATAATTTTTTTGTTCATTAATTAATAATTTGTATTTTTGTATTTATATGCAAATTTTTACATTTATTTTATGTTCAATACTTCTAGTATATTTAAGTAAAACATAATGTTAATTTAATATAATTATATTTGTTTTTAGTTTGTTATGCAGATTTACAGATGATACATTTAATGTGGACAATGCAGTCACTATTGGTGTAGATTTTAAAATGAGAAAAATCACTGTTGATAATAATAATATTAAGTTAGCTTTATGGGTAAGTGATTAAATATTTGTAAAATATTTAAATATATGAGCCAATAGATTTATTTTAAATGATTTTTTAGGACACAGCTGGACAAGAAAGGTTTCGTACGCTCACTCCAAATTATTACCGCGACGGTCAAGGTGCTGTACTTGTTTATGATGTTTCAAACCGAGATTCATTTACATGTTTAGAAACATGGATTAATGAACTTAATAGATATTCTACCAAAACTAATATTATTAAAATGGTTGTTGGTAATAAAATTGATAGGGTAAGTATTTATAATGTATAATACAATATGTATTTGTGGATAAACTTATATTTTATTTATCAAAGTGTAACAGAATTACAGAATTTTTATTCTTTAAATTTAATGAATTGCACTTATTTTCTAAATTAAAAAAAAAATTGAGCAATTTGTTCATAATTTGTATTAGTTTATAATTACTCTTTGTAAAATATACTGTGTGTAGTGTGTACCATGTAGTTAACTAACGAGTCAAGGGCAGATCCAGCTTGTATTTACGGTAGGGGCACTTTATAGGAAAAATTATGTTATATAGATAAAGCCCCCCCCCCACAAAAAAAAAACAATATGATAAAAATATATGTTTTTAACATTTATTTTTATATCTTATAAAATATTATTTTATTTTTTATAATTTATCTATAAATGGAACTCAACTTAATGCTTTTATTACATTTGTAAAATAAAATCTAATTTTCTATTCTTTGTTTTCGATAATCTGTCAATCACATATATTTATGTCTATATCTTCTGTTTTGTGTGCATGAATAACAGCCAAATCTGATAATCTGTCTTCTGACATCCTACAACGCATCCATGTCTTAATCCTTTTAAGTGACGATAAACTCCTCTCTGCCGAAGCAACACTTACTGGTAGAGTAGTCAAAACTGTGACAAGCATATTAATTAGTGGAAATATTTCTTTATCACATTTTATTAGAGACTAAAGCTGAATTGAATTTGGTATGTCAGAATTTTTTTATTGCCACTGTTGGTTCCACCACTGTAATTCTCCTTTTAATTTAATAGTTAAATCTTCTTCGTTGACAATTTGTTTGTTCATTTCTTCGACTTTGCCAAATTCGGCTTGTATAGTCGTATGACAATCTCACCCAATAACATGCTGTGACAGGGATGGAGGGACTCATGTGTATTGCCGTATGCCTGCATCGGTCAATTAAATTTAGTAATAACAAACAGAATTACAATAAAGAACATGTATACTGACTACCAAAAACCGAGCCTTAGATAATGAACAATGATCGCATGTTCGCATTCTTAGTGTTTACAAACATTTATTTTTATAGATTAACGACAATACATAGATTTCAATACTAAAATGTTAAATATTATTTTTTCCAACAGGGGTGGCACTCGCCTCCAGTGCCACCCCCCTGGATCCGTCCTTGTGACAAGTTTTACCATTAATGTTTTTATGAAACATGATTCAATGATATATTTGAGATATATTAAACTTCTGTGTCTACATTATAAATTATATTATTAACAGTGATCATAATAATAATATTAATTTTTAATCATAGGAAAGACAAGTCACTCGAGAAGAAGGTATTGCTTTTGCTCGTCGCCATCAAACATTATTTATTGAAACTAGTGCTAAAACAAAAGAAGGCGTTTATATGGCTTTTGAAGAATTAGTTAGAAAAGTAAGTTAATATTTAATAAAGTATTCAAATTTATTAGTGTCCGATCAATATACAACAATATCTTATTAATATAAATAAACTTAGTTACAAAATATTTATTGAAAATTTACTTTTATGGTTAAAATCGTAAATTCATTGTTTTTTTATTCTTAAATTATCAAGTAATATTTTGTCTTTCTATTGAATAATCATTCTGCTTATTATATATCAAGTTTTCCCATAATATTAGTAATTAAAAAAAACAATTTTACATATTGCTTGACTCTAAATATGTATTTATATAATAGATAATAAATACACCGAGCTTATGGGAAAAGCTTGAAGATGCCAATGTGGTTCGGTGTAATGATGATCATTCAGTATCGGAGCAAAAATATTGTTATTGTTGACTCTTTAACCAACAAAATATTCATGTAAGGTTATATTGTGTTATTGTACAACTAGTCTAATACTTTGTAGGTATATGATATATTATTTGTAGCATAGAAGGAATATGCTACAAATGACAAAGTAATTAGAACATATTTTATTTTGTTTTTATTATTGCACTTTAAAATAATTTTAAGGTTGCATTTTTGGTTGTTAACATTCAAAAATGATTAAACTAAATACTATGGATTACTAATGAAATAAACATATTGTAATTGGTTACTTTTACCTGAGAATAAAAGTTATTTTGTGCTTATATTATTGATTATAGATAGAACAATCTATAATCAATTGATAAATATCATGTATACTATAATATTATGTAATATAAATTATAATTTATTAAAAATGCATCATTTTATAATAATTCATTCTATTGGCCTTTATTTTACAGTGATTATCATTTATCTTAGAAATTTGACAGGATTTGTCAAAAATTGTTTGAATTCGATTGTTGAATCCCGAAAATTTGCAAATTATTTTTCAATTAGAAATTCATAAAAATGTTCCTTTTCATAACTAATATTTGAATATTTAAAAGGGAATTCATAAGTTTTTCTTATCATATCTTTATCAAAAAAAGGTGAACCCGAAAGTTCCTATCCATGAATTTTAATGATTTGATTATTTATACATGTATCCTAGGCAGACCAGATTTAACACATCTTTGACCATGACATACTTGACAAGTATTGTACAGCTGAACTATACCCACTTGTCCACACAAGTATTCATTTTAGTTTTTCATTTTTTTTCCTCGCCTTAATTTTGTTTGTTTGATCCTGAAAAAGTGTGTAACTGTGTTAGTAACTTGAAAAATATCACCATTAATTACATTAAAAAAAGGCGATAAATCCCTGCCTTGCCGTTTTTCGGTATGTAATCGATGAATAGATGATAGTCAATAGTTAATTCCTATCCTATCATATTCACAGTTTTTTTAAAACATGTTTTAAATAAAAGTCGTTTAAACAACTAGACAATCTTAATTATTTTTCTGTCCGGCTCTGGTTTGATGTTTAAAAGTGATAAGTTGTTTTATTTAAAATGGAAGCTGGAAGGTTTAGGGGAGGAATTTGATATATTTTTGTTGATTTGTTGCTGGACCATTAAAACAAAACAATTAGTAACATTGGTCTTGAGAGTTATTTTTAAATTAATTTTTTTGCTCCCAGTTTTATTCGAAATTGTACGATCATATTAGTTAGGATACGAAATTAGAGCAGTGGTTCCCAAACTTGTTTTCGAGGGTCTCCATTTTTGGACTAAATTTATCCACGTTGCCCTGCCGTAAATATCTCAAAAAATTAACATAAAAAACTCTTATTTTCATTGATATCAGTTTCTATTTGATCAGTCTGAATAAGAATACACGAAATAAATTGTTTTTGCAAGACTTGATTTGAAATTAACAAAAATTACAACAAATTATAAATAAAGGCACGGTGTCCTTGGAAAGGGCTCGTGGTGCACAGTGCCACAGTTTGGGAACTGCTAGTCTAGAGCTAAAAACTGTATCCTGTGTAATAGAAAGCAGTTACAGCAATGTATTGTGTATTTGTAAATTTGTAATTTAAACAATTTAAATGGACATATATAATTTATTTTTCTTCTAAATCAACAACATTTGGATTATTATTTGTTTTTTTTAAACTACTGTCAAAAAAAACTTGAAAATGTTGTAGAAAAGGTTCCTCGTAAGTTTTTGTTAGTGGAAATTAAAAAAAATATTGAGCGTTAATCCACAATAATTTTTTATGAGCGTTTGAATTCAAAATTTAAGAAAATTCGTAAAAATCCAGAAACAAATTATTTTTAGTTAGAATAATACATAAAATTGTGTGCACGATTTTTCACAAATTTATACATATAAAGTTACACACCGGTAAGCTACACGTATAGATCTCAAAAATTATTTTAAATTATTGTAGTTTAGCTCAAGTATTGGTAGTTCACTGTTCACTTACGAGTCATTAGTCGTTACGACGTTAAAATACGACGTATCTAGGAAAAAAATCACCAAAGCAACTGTTGGATTCAGCTGTTCTTAATTAATAATGATAAAAAAATAAATAATATAGCATTTGAATGATAATATTTATTATAATATCTTGGTCAGTGACTTCTGAGAACTCACTATAAAAAAAAATAACGATAGTGATTACTAATCACTGATTGATGACAACAATATTAACTTCGTTTTATATTATAAATAAAAATATGAATATGAAATTGTTATCGTTATACATGTATACTTATGTAGCCGTAAATGTTTATTTATTTTCGTCGATTTAATAATAAATACTAATTATTATTTATAATTTAATTAATTTGTTAAATTTAATAATATGGAATTGTATGATGCGTGAATTGCAAAGAGTGGTACCGGCAACGGGCCATGGTAAGACCGTCGTCTATCGGTGGCGAGATAACAAAAAAAAAGGAGGGATATAATAGTAGATTTAGCGATTTGGTGTTTTATTTGCTCGAAGTATACACTTATTTTTATTAGTTTTGAAATACTTTGTATAGTAATAAATCTTACCAAAGCTTTGCTTTCCGAGTAATAGGTATACAGAAAAATGATTATGATTGATAATATTTTTAATTTCTATTTTAGTCCATTCATCTAAAGTGTCTAGATTGGTATGAATACATACTTAGAATTATATCCATAGATAAAGATAAATATAACCGAGCTGAAAATTATCTAGATGAGATGAAAGGTAATCAATTTTAATCTTGATAAGTTATCTAGATATTTCCCATAACTGTTAGTCAATGGGGTCAGTCTGCATTTTTTATTTACGTATTATAATATAGGTACCTATATAAGTAGTCTTTTATTATTTATAAACTATTTGCTTGAGGGAATTTTTTTTGGGTTTCGTATTTACCCTTACGACTCCGTTACTGAAAACGCTTACCGCTCCACATGATGAATTCCCGCTTTTTTATTTTGATTTCATACTGATTGTAAATATTATTTAACTATTAACTCTTGGAGGAAAACATATAATTTATATTTATAATTTAAGTTAAAGTTAAAACCACATAGTCAATACATTTATTTAAATATGACCATATATATCATAGAATTTTTCTATGTTTAAATTATAATAAAATTTTTGTTTTTTACTTAAATTTCTTTTTAAGTTTTTTTTAAGGTTAGCTTCTTATCGTTTACTAAATATTGTACGCAACTTCATGCCTTAGTTTTAAAAATTGGAAAAGCTCGTGTCTTACTTTTTAAAGCTTGATACGTCTGCTGCCCTGCTGCCTATTTATTAATTGGTGTTTCTATTTTCGTGAAAATACTTTTTTAAATACATCTTGTGTTGTGTCAACTGTATTCAGGTATGAGTATATCGCCAACGTGTAACGATCATAGTTTTGTGTCATTGCTCTACTTAATACTCATTATTTGTAATGCAACATTAAATATGTTTGCTAATTTAAAACATATTTTGAATTATAACTGTAGTTGATACTTGGTTATGACTTTCATTTCAAGTAATAACTTATTAGCACATTAAGTATCTATTTTAGCTAATCATTTCTGATTATTCTCACATTCTCATATTAAACTTGTAAATTTGTTTGTGAAAATGTCTATTTTGTCTAATAAAGTTGCTTTAAGAAAATGACAATTTGAATAGGTACAAACATTTACAATTTACATTTTAACTTTAATGCTTAGGATGCCATCTGACGCGAAAAAGAGACAACTACAGAAAAAGAAAGATGCAGCTAAAGCACGACAAAATATTAAACCAGCCGGTTCTAAAGACAGTAATGGAGTGTCAAATGGTGATGAAGTGGTTCCTATTAGTGAAGAAGGTAATACTTATTGACATATTATATTTCATGAATTTAATTGTTTCTTGTTATCCGGTTAATATTGAAATTTGAAATATTGCTGGGTTGTTCCACATCAATACTGTTTGTAGATAGAGTAAAACCACTTATAACATAGAATACTACAATTATTACTTAAGAAATGAATATTGTTCAATACAACTTTAATACTTACCCATATTGAGTATAGTATATTTGTCCACACAAAATATTTCAAGTCCTTAAATTTATTTTCTAAGAATACAATTTCTAAAATTTGTATTAATTTTATAATGTTTCACTGAATAAACCTAATTTTTTTTAGTATGTTCAGATTTTTAGTTAATTATAGCTCATCAGATGTAGATATATGTATTGCGTACTTACTTGTATTTTATAGTATTAAAAGGTTAGCTTTTGAATTCTGTCTTAAAACTTGTAAGTGGCAATAATATTAAACACAATTTTAACCAACCAATTATTAATTAAGTTAATTATTTTACTTTTAGAATTGCTTTGCAAAAAGTTAGAAGCTGATGCAAAATTAAATGCTGAAGCACGTGCTTGTACTGGCAGTTTAGCGTCTCATCCCAGATCTAGGGATATTAAGGTTGATAATCTATCAATAAGTTTCCACGGTTGTGAACTGTTACAAGACACTATGTTGGAATTGAATTGTGGTCGTCGTTATGGATTAATAGGTTTAAACGGAAGTGGTAAGTGAGATTTTCTTGTTATATATAATCATTAATTTACTATAGACCACATTTTCTTATTGTCTTAGGAAAGTCAACTCTATTATCAGTATTAGGAAATCGAGAAGTACCAATTCCTGAACAAATTGATATTTTTCATTTGACTAGAGAAATGCCAGCATCTGAAAAATCTGCACTCAAATGTGTTATGGAAGTAGATCAAGAAAGAATTAGACTTGAAAAACTTGTTGATGAATTAATAGCCTGTCCTGATGATGGTTAATAATGACTATAATTTCTTTATTAAAATGCATATAAAACTTAATTTTATACAATTTAATTTTAGAATCGCAAGAACAATTAATGGATGTTTATGAAAGATTGGATGATATTAGTGCTGATACAGCTGAAGCTCGAGCTGCTAATATTTTACATGGTCTTGGTTTTACTAAAGCGATGCAAAATCAAAAAACAAAAGATTTCTCTGGTAACAAGATTTATTTTTAAATTAGTATAGTTATAGTTTTAATGACCTCCGTGTACTTTTAATTATTCAAGGCTGGTTAGTTGTTAATTTAAATTGATTTTATACATTGATATTTTCTGTATGCATTATAGGTGGTTGGAGAATGTGAATTGCTTTAGCTCGAGCTTTGTATGTCAAACCACATTTGCTATTACTTGATGAACCAACCAATCATTTGGATTTAGATGCATGTGTCTGGCTTGAAGAAGAATTGAAATCGTAAGTTTTAAAATTATTTATGTCTTTAAATACTAAAAATAAAGTATGCATCTCCTGATATTATCATTTAAGATTATCATTGTACAATTTAAAATAAATAAAGTAAACTATTACACAAGGATAATATGTAAAGCATGCTTAATTTGATCTTTTAACGACTACACTATTTATGCTCTGTGACCTGTCAGTGCTACATAAAATAAAATTGTATTAATTAATAAATTTTTTTGCTTTAATATAAATTAATTATTTAATTTAGTTTTAATTTTGAGATCTATATGATCTAATCATTTAAGTTATGAATAATAGGAGCCAGGATTTCCTAAATTTGCATGGTTACTGGCGATAATATTTTAAAATAAAAGAACATAATCATATGGCTGAGCAGTGATAGGGTCACTAATGAATTTATTTAAATTATAATTTTTCGAATGCTGTATGTAAAGCCTATATTTTAAGATACTTAGATTTGTGATGCTACTGTCACATTTTGGGGCATTAAAAATGCTTTAATATTTAATTTTAAAGATGGATTTTGGTGGCTTATGGAGTGGTCAAAATAAGGAAAAACAAAAATGTATATTTGGTGTAAATCAAAAACGAATCCACATAGATAGTTGAAATTATCACCAAAAGCTTAGAATAACATTTTCTTCCATACATAGATTAATTTTCAAAATATATTGACTTTAATCTATTTATAGACATTTGATGTTTTCAAATTTGTTTTCCTGTACTAAAGATTGAAATAATTTTGTAATTTCAAAAAAATTGAAAATTGAATACAAGTTTTCTTATGATATAGCAATTAAAGTTCAAATTTTTTCAAAATGTATGGACATTTTGAATTTATTTGTTGTTGTTTTTAAGATTTATTTAATGATTAATTTGTATAGCTAAAGCTTAAAAATGCAATTTGAGGTTTCTTATTAAGTGGTTATAGTACCAACTTGTTAATATCTGATGTATAATTATAGGTACAAGAGGATTTTGGTAATAATATCACATTCTCAAGATTTTTTGAATGGTATATGTACTAATACAATTCACTTGGATAAAAAGAGACTTAAATCTTATGGAGTATGTATAAAATATTTGTAAAAAAAACAGATGTATGACTTAAAATGTATAACTGATGTATTGATTATAAAATGTTTAGGGTAATTATGATGCTTTTGTTCGTACTAGAGAAGAACAACTTGAAAATCAGATGAAACAGTATAATTGGGAACAAGATCAGATTGCTCATATGAAGGTAAATTTAACCATAGAATATATGATTTTTGTAACTTTTGTTTATTGTATATACTACAATAATCCTTAAAGTTACTAAAACATACATTATGAATTATGTCATTTTCAGAATTATATTGCTCGTTTTGGTCATGGAAGTGCCAAACTCGCTAGACAAGCTCAGAGTAAAGAAAAAACATTAGCAAAGATGGTTGCACAAGGTTTAACTGATAAAGTAACCAGTGATAAATTAGTTACGTTTTATTTTCCTTCGTGTGGAACTATACCACCACCAGTTATTATGGTTCAGGTAAAAAATTAAAAATTCAACTTAATAATTATTTTAGCAATCACTTATTATTCATAATTTGTTCATTGTTAGCCAAGTTAAAAATATTATTTAAATTCTATGAAAATATTAAAGAATGAATTTAATGTAATATTAGTGTGAAATGGATATGAAAAAGGTTGTTATGAAGAATTCTAGTAATAAATAAAAGATTATTTGTTATTTCATGAAGTTTTTTATGTTTCGACAGTCTTGCATAGGATAAAATTATCATGAAAAAATATCTTTAAAATGTATATGTAAGATATAATTTGTTGACTTCTAGTCTCCAAATTTTCTCTAAGCATAATATTTTAATACTTGTATTATGTCCAAAGAGTGGATTATAAGATACTTATAAGCTTAAAATATGATTATAATATACTTCTAACAAACCTTGAAATATTCTCTTAATAATGATTAAATCTAGTAAATTATATCAAAGTAAAACATGCTGTTTTATCTTCAAATAGTTAAAAAAAATCGAAATTGCACACCATGTAATAGTATGCTTAAACTTGAAAATAATTATTGCATACATTTACTTAGGTAAATTACATAATTTCAGTCACATTTGAAACAATCAAACAATTTTATTACAAACAATGTCCATAATTTTTCTTTCAAATTCAATAAAAAAAAATGTTGTGTAATGAAATATTTTCAACTAGAGAAATTAACAAATATAATTCTTTTATGAACAAATTAAATATATTCTTAAATTTGAAATATTGGCTGGTTATTCATTTATCTCCAAAATATGCTTTAATATGCAAAATAAATTTTCTTCTACAAGTTCTATACTGTATAAATCCATATTTTTCACCCTAGTTGAGCTGCATAAAGTCAATAAATATGTGTGAAAACCTAAAAATCTTTCCTTTAAATATATGTCGTTTACAAATACATAATGTGTTGTTGTCAAAAGTTTAATAATAATTATTATTTTCCTTGAGTTAATAAATAAAATTTTTCTATTAGAATGTGAGTTTCCGATACAATGATGATTCACCTTATATTTATAAGAATCTGGAATTCGGTATTGACTTGGATACAAGACTTGCATTGGTAGGTCCTAATGGAGCTGGTAAAAGTACTCTTCTGAAGTTACTTTACGGTGAAGTAAGTAATAATTTAGATAAAATTATATTTTATATTAATATTATATAATTTTTAGCTTTTTCCTACTGAAGGAATGATTCGTA